CACTTGCCGCCTAGACCTGTGTCCTGCATGGCTGGTAGATGCCAGTGGAGATGGAATACGAGTCCCCTTGGCAGACATCATAAATTCCCTTTTCTGATTTTGCGTTGTGTGCAGAAACGAGGGATTCCTGTACTCTTCCTGTAATGAAGATGGTGGTGGAGGAAAGCGCCATCAAGTTGGCAGCGAGCTGATGATGACCCCGCAGGGTTTTCCAGGCAACAGGCAAACAGAGGCGGTTTCCCGCTGCCTGCCTTTGTGTAGCAGCCCTGGACTTCCTTGGTGGTCTCCCATCCAAGGACTAACCAGGGTGACCCTGTTTGGGCTCCAAGATCTGACGAGAGATCAGCCTAGCCTGGGCCATTCAGGTCAGGGTGGAATGAAGATACTCTTCTCAAAACAATTTATGAAGTAGACAGGCCTCCCCCCTGCCAAGGAGAGTGAGTGGCGTCTGTAGGTTTTTAAAAAATATATATCACCCAGACGTGTAGGGCAAAAAGCCTGCAGATCCATCCAGTGCCTGGAGAAAGAGGGGTAAGGTGAGCGAGAAGGAGTAGAGGGCGGGGGGGCGGGCGCTCTCTGGCGGGCACCCAATAAGCACCTCTCTTCCGAAAGTGTATCCTCCACTTACAGCCTGGCTCAGTGGCCGCTTTGAGGCCTCCTGCTTGCAGGACCATGTGGGGGCGGAAGCTTATAACATTGATAGGATTTGCTCAAACACGGTGACTGGACTTTTGCTTACAAATGTGTTAAGACATTCTGGTCAGGTAGATGAGCTTTGCCATTAGCTCAGGAAGGAGACTAGTTTGCTCTCTTTGGTCCCAAAAATCACTTTAAATCTTCTGTCATAGTTGTCCTCTGCTGTCACAAGTGCTGGCCATGGTTCCTGTGGCTGGAATCTGGAATGATCTTAGCAAGGGTAAAGGGTTCGGTGCTCTGTGTATGGGGCTTTGGGTGTGGCAGCCTTTTGTGATTTCCTCTTTTCTTTAGGCTCTCTTGGAGGGTAGAGCATGGTAGTAACAGCTGTGGTCAATTACAGCTGAGATCGCTTAATAAGTGGGGTGGATAGAGAGGGAGTAAGTCTGTGTCGTTACTGTCAGCCGTTAGTCGTCAGACAGAGAAGGCAAAGCAAGCAATTGGAGGAGAGCCAAGAGACTTTTGGAATTCGTCCCTCTTCAGGAGCCTTGTATGAGGAGTTCATTTGAAGGCTTGGATTATTGCTTATGGTAACTGCTGTGAAGTTTTGGCTTTTAATTGGACTAAATATGGGGCTGTTACCTTGTTTTCCTGCCTCCGTCCTTGGATATAGTAAATAAAGAGAACTGTTTATTTTTTTAATGTGGAGTTCCCTCCTTTGTGCAGCAAATGGCCCATGGCCAGGACGCAGAGCACTATCAGAGTGAGTCCCTGGAGTTACAACTTCTTTACAGCAAGTCAGGATTGTTTGCTTCAAGGGTGCCTGGATAACCTTGTTTGGCTTTTTTTTTTTCTTCTTCTTTTTTTAAAGCCCTTGGAAGGATTTTTTTTTTTTAATAATACTACATAAACTACCAAGAAAAAATGAGGAGAGGGGGACTACAATTTTAGGGAGAAAGAAAAGATAACCCACACTAAGCTAAAAACCCAAGGCTAGGAGATCATTCCCTGTTAAAATGCTGTTAGTAAAAGAAAAGGCTGTTAATAAACAATATACTTTGTGAGATCCTGTCTTTCTACGCTTATATGTTAGATTGTTACTTGTTATGAGAAGATTTCCTGAGCATCTCCTCCAGCTCGTCTCATAAAGGCAATTTGCAAAGTCCTTCCGCCTTTACATCTATACTAAATCTAAATTCTTGATATCTTCTTAGACGTTCACTGCAGCCCAATCTTCTTCCATCTAAAGGAATAGAACCGCTAGTCTTAAGCCTCTTTCGCTCTGTTCTCGGTGTCCAATGGCTTCTCAAAGGTTTCTTGATTATGAAGGGTACCTCCAGCTCCTTTTTCTCAGCAGACTTTAAGATGACACTTTCTAAGCACACACGCAGAGAAGAAGTAAAATCCTTGTAAATTTCTCGTTTCTCTTGTGCTTTTTCTTCTTTTCTCATTGAGATCGCTGCTTAATTTAGTGTCTATCTCATTCGCTTTGAGAGCCCTCAATTCCATTTTTTCTCCACTCGCCTCCTGGAGCTGCCAAGACAAAAATTGTTGATTTATCTTGGCCAGCTGCTGGTTAATACGAACAAGTTGCTCCAAGATCGGCTTGATGGCTTCTGCTACTAGTGCAGTGACGTCAACTTCCCTTCTTCTCCTTAAAGTTTTTGCCATCTTTTTTTTTTTAATATCTGCCGTTTCAACGTTTTAGTTTCAATAAAGTCTCTTTCTTCCTGGCTCTGCAAATTGTATACGCTGTTAAAAGCTCATGGAAATCTTCCACAACAGGCTTACACGCTTGCAAATAAAGTCTTTCAGAAGTATCTGTTTACAACTGTCTTTCTCCCCCTCCCCTCTTCCGTTTAGGCACCCCCTCCAATCGCTTAAGGGATTTCAGGGGGCGGGGGATTTCGCTTCATGTATCCGTTTACAATCGTTTCTCTCTCCCTCCCTCTCCTTGTTTATGCAAATGCATTGAGAGGCATCCCTCTCAGCATGCTATCGCTCAGAAAGTTTTTCCTTTGAGGGGGAGGGGATTTTCTCTTCTGAAGACAAATCGCTCATTTTCACTCACAGTTCGCTCCTTACATTCATTGTTGGTCTTATCTTGACCTCACTCTTAATCGCTCCTCCGCTAGATCTCCTGTGCTTGATCGGGTCGACACAGCTTGTGGCCTCGCTAAGAGGACGCAGTCAGCGAGAGGGACCATCGGGGTGGAGGGGAGCCTCCATTCCCCTGCCGTTAGCAGGAAAAGAGGCTCACCCTCAAAGCCCTATGGCTTGGAAGTTCTCCCTGAACTCCCATGGAAGCGCAGAGCCAGCTGCGCCTCTCCCCCTCGCTGCTGTGCGGTACGCCTCCCCAGAGAGCTGGGAAAGGCGTCCGCCATCATTGTGTCGTTGACCCCACCCCAAAAACCTTGTTTGGCATCTTAATGGGTTTCAGCCATGTGTTTCCTCTGAGTCTGGTCAAGCTGCTTCTTCCCCGGCCTTTTTGGCTTCTGCTCTCTGGGTCCAAAAGCAAGTGGGGAGGGGTATCGAGCAGCCTGAAGCCCCACACAACTGTAGGAGTGCTGGCGTAACAACACCCAATTGCTGCAGCACCTTGAAATAGGGCCTGCATGGGAAGGTGGTGGTGGTGGGCACTTGGGGCTTGGACTCTGCCTGTAGTGACACCCAGGCACACTGCTGGCCTCGTGTGGTGGGTTCAGAGCATTGCACTGGATGCTCTCAGCTTTTCTGTAAGGTGGGGCTAGCGCCTCTCTGCAGTTCCAGCTGCTCAGAAGGGCATGCCAGGGTGTGGGCAGAGAAAGGATTTCTTCCTTCTGGCAGGCTCCACCCCTTGATTGCAACCCATGGGAAGGGATTGGGCCACGGAAGTGATTCACCTGGCCTCAGCGTGGAGGTGTGGCTGCCAGTCTGGCTCCCGGCCTTTTTGCCGTCCCCCACCCCCAGCATCCAGAGTACAAACTCCTCTTGGGAGAGGGGCTTCCCGTGTTCTCTCTCTGTGTTAAGCAGCCGATTTAGGCAAGCGGTGGGGGTTCTCCCTTGTCCATCCATGTGCCAGCCTCAGATGGCCTGAGCGCCTGGAGGTCATTCTGTATTCAGGGGGTGATGCTCTTGGCTGTGCGAAATCCACACGTGCTCCAAATATAACCCCAGATCAGCAGCCTCTGTGAGTTAGATGCATTTGCTCAGAGGCAGGTGAGATATGCCGGTGAAATGCAGGAAGGTGTTTTACGTGGTAACTGTTTCCAACCCAGCCTCTGCTACATGGACTGAGCCTGTGGGCATCATTTCCCTTTGTATATATTCCTGACAGTGGAGCATGAAAATATCTCTCTCCCACCCCCATCTCTTGTGCAGTTCCATCTGGTGTTTAGTGCCGGCCCATAAAATAACAGAAATACCTCTCAGAGATTGCCTCGATTGCAGTTGCACCTTGCTAGTGTGACAGTCCTTTCCTCAGGACGATGCTGTTGTGGTGCTGACCTGCTGCCGATGGTGCGCCTTCCTGGGATGTCTGGCAAAGACAGAAGAAGCAGGTGCATATGGAATTGCCCACTTCTTCTTCTTTTTAATTATTAAAAATTCCACCATAACAGTACAACCGTATCCTAAAAGACTCAGCCATAAATCATCATAAATATAAACTACTTCTTCTATCCATAGTCAATTACAACATACAGAGAAAAGATCCAAAATATATCCATTACTAACATACGTTCTTAAGTCAAAACATTCATTAACTCCTTGTAATGTATATTAGATGAAACAATTTCCTTATCTTGTAAAAATTTAGCAAAAGGAGACCAAATTGTTTGAAAATTTTTATCATAAACATCAAAATTCTGAATGCCTGTAGAATAATCTATTTTACCCAGCATAAAGTGGTTCCAGACAGAGTCATACCAATTTTGTATTGAAGGCCCTTTCTTCTGTTTCCATTTCTTAGCAATCTCTAACGTCGCAATGCCTAACAAAGTTGTTATTGTGCCCAGCTTGTCTTCATTTACTTGTTCTGTTAAGCCTATTTCTAAAAGGATGTTTTCTGTATTTTTTGAGATCTGTTGACCAACTATTATCTCAGTTTGACCTACTACTTTATTCCAAAATCTTTGAATAGAGGGGCACAACCAAAAACAATGCATGAAATCTCCCATCGAACCACAACCTTTCCAACATTTTTTCTCAGATTTTTTGGAAATTTAGCCATTCTACTTGGAGTTAAATAGCTTCTATGTAAGATTTTAAATAAATTAAAATGGATTGATGCCGTCTTGGAGTTAAAACTTGGGGCCTTCCAGGCTTTATCAAGAACTGCCCACTTCAGCAGCTTTTTGACATGCCTGATCTGTTTCTCCTTCCCTCAGGAAAAGCTCTGCCAGCAGAAGTACAACGTCTCCTGCATAATGATCATGCCCCAGTACCAAAGGCAAGGATTTGGAAGGTTTCTCATTGATTTCAGTAAGTGGAGGGCTTTATTTCCATTCATGATCCTGGGAGGTGACGATTGTTGTGGGGATACAGCAGCATATGAAACTTTATTTAACCTGCTTTGTTGTTGCTGTTGTTGTTGTTGTCGTCGTCCCCGTCTTTACCAATAGATAATGGGATTTCTGTTTCTATTTGCATGGTGGTGAGGAAGCTCTCTCAAGTGCAAAATCTGCCGCCTCTCTGTTGTGCTCCAGGAAATTGAGAATAGATCTCTCTGCAGTAATATTAGCTCTCAAAGCTATTACACTGAATGAATTGTCTAAATTGCACTCATTTTGTGCTGCTCATTAGTACAAAGAGAGGCAATTATTTGTGATTAAAGCAAAGGAAGGTGTTAGTCCAAGGCGCTCTCTGCCTTCCAAATTCTCTTTTAACATGGAGTACATTTTAGATGAACAATGGTTATGACAGAGCATAATGTTCCAGTGTTTTTTTGTTTTCTTTTACTTCAAAGAATCTCATTACTTTGCTTCTGGACTAAAAGCCACTGTTTCTACATGCTATATAAATTGGTTTCCTTGCTTTATTTCTTTGGTTCTTTGTGATGCAGAGTTGTACATCTGACCTATTTTGAACATTTCAAACAATGTTTCTTAAAAGACCCCAGTATCATTTAAAAATAAAGTTTAAGTATAATTTCATATAAAATTGATGCAACTAAATAGTTACCGTATATTGTCTTCTGAACGAAACTTGGATTTTTAACTATGAGATGGTTTGTGAAAGTTTATGTTTTGGAAGCCAAGTTCCCGTTTGTGTGGTGCATTAGTCTGTATTTTAAAGCAACACATGTCCCTAACTGTTTTTTTGTTTCCTGAGAGCCAGTTTGGTGTAGTGGTTAAGTGTGCGGACTCTAATCTGGGAGCACCGGGTTTGATTCCCCACTCCTCCTCCACTTGCACCTGGCTGGATGACCTTGGGCAAGCTGTAGTTCTGATAAGAGCTGTTCTTGAAAAAGAGCTGTTTCTGTCAGAGCTCTCTCAGCCCCGCCTGCCTCACAGGGTGTCTGTTGGGGGGAGGGGAAGGGAAAGGGGTTTGTCAGCCGCTCTGAGGCTCCAAGTGAAGGGCGAGGTATAAATCCAATCTCCTCCTCCTCCTCTTCTTCTTCTGGAAGCCACCCTGAGCTGGCCTTGGCTGGGAGGGCGGGGGTATAAATCTGACCAATAAATAAATAAATTAAATGAACAATGAACAAATGAGGCAGAATATAAAAACAGAAGTAAAATGATGATTTTTGGCCTGAGGATTACTATAATGTTTTAATTCTGTGTTGTAACATTTTAATTGACATCACTTTGAAAAGAACCAAGCGTTAGACTTGATAAATAAAACTTGGTCTGTCTGCTTTGCTCTTTATAAAATGTCCTGACTGCTTCATAGTGTGAAACTGGTCAGGGATTGCTCAAGATTGCTTTCTCCGGGCCTCTCTTGACAACCCAGACTTCCTGCCCAAAATCGTTCTCTGATGCAGACGTAGAGCAACCAAGGGGCACTGCCTCGAATCCAGTGCACACGGAACTCAGAGCTCCGCTCATTGGGAAGCCTGCTACCAGGGGTCATTTCGTAGAAAAAGAGCTAGGGGAACTCATTAGCATAACTCATTAGCATATGCCACACCCCCTGACATCAGGGGCCCGGCGGTGGACCTGCAAGGCCAGCGGGAGTGCGAGGAAGCCCCGCCAAGGCCCTCCCTGGCCCCAGGCAGGCAGGGGTGGGGAGAGGTGGGGAGGAAGCAACTTACCCTCCCTCTTCTCTTGCCTCCTCCTGGCTGAATGAGGGCTGGAAGCAGGGGGCGGGGCTTCATCATGTGCCCCGCCCCCTGCACCTCACCCGGGGGAACTGCGTTCCCCTGCGTTCCCCCCCGAAATGACCTCTGCCTGCTACACAATGCCCATCCTACAGCTTGCCACCTTGCTACCTATCTGAATGAGAACATGATCAATCTGAGTTCCCCGACAAACCAGATCAGGCATATGCCGAAGACCTACAATCTGGCTGCCCATTCTGAGCATCTTACGATGAGATCAAGGAGGTAGATGACACCCCACACTATAGCCCTGAAAGTACCTCGAAATGGGTGACCCTGACCCGGTTTCTCCAAGTGAAGATCTGCGTCTGTACAGTGAGCACATGCTGCACATAGCTAAGGCCTTAGAAATTAATGTGGCTGCCTCCAACAGTAAACTTAAAGACAAAATACTAAGCTGTCTCTACCCTGATATACACCATCTTCTGTGGCTTTCCCTATTTTGGAAGGGTTGGATGAGTTAATGGTTCCAGTTAGGCAGAAACTGGCTTCAGCTCAAGTGACTCCACGTAAACTGGATAATCTCTACAGCAGGGGTGTCAAACATGCGGCCCGGCGGCCAGATCAGGCCCCCGGAGGGCTTCTATCAGGCCCACAGTGGAACTGGCTGTCTTCTTCCAGTTCTGCTGATGCTGTGTCATCGTAGGTTTGCAGCTTACAGATACACACCTGAACAGCATACTCAGGATTATTTATTTATTAAATTTCTACCCCGCCCTCCCGCCAAAGCAGCTCAGGGTGGCTTACAAGCAATTTAAAACCAACATTCGGTTAAAACCAACATTTTCAAAATATAAGTTCCATAAAATCCCAGCTAATACATCCTGTGATAAAGTGCTAGTGCGACACCACCAGCATAATCGGTTCTTATTGGAACGCCTGACGAAACAGCTCCGTTTTAACGGCTCTACGGAACTGCTGGAGGTCCCGCTGGACTACATTTTTTGCATATTGAATATTGCATTTTGATGCAGTAATTCAGAGCAAGAGATGTCAGTTATCAGACACTGTTAAATAAACAAAATATTGCAAGAGTGCTAATGTTTTAAGCATGTTTTTATTTTAAGTAAAAAAAAACCTTTGTGTTTTTGTCCTTTATAAAGTTTACATCTCCGCTACCTGGCATTACATCTTATGACACACATGGCCCGGCCCAACAAGGTCTCATTTATGTCAGATCTGGCCCTCATAACAGTTGAGTTTGACACCCCTGCTCTATAGGGTAAAACGTGATGTGGCTGAGTAGCTGTCCACCCACCCAACCTCTTCTTTAGTAATCCTAGAGGATATGCAAGTGCATCACTGCCTTGAACAGTATGTCTCCTCTACTGATAGGGGGATTAGGAGGCTTGATTTCATAGGGCGTAAGTCCTACTCAGATACCAACTATGAAACTATCATGGGGGGCTACCAATTATTTTTGTGGGAAAGCCTTACTAAATTCCTCAACTCTCTCCCTGACAACGTGAAGAACCTGGCTAAGAAGATCCAGGGGGTGGCGGTCAAATTATCCAAACAGCAAATAAATGCCAGGAAACACTAGACTGAGGTTTCTGCTGGAATGATGGCATCTGCGATTGTTCGGAGGCACCATTCATGGCTTCTTAATGCTATGTTTCCTCTTGATACCTGAGCATGGGCTCAAGATCTGCTGTTTGAACACTCTATTATATTTGCCCAATCAACCAATGAACATAAGAACATAAGAGAACCCAATGTTGGATCAAGCCAATGGCCCATCCAGTCCAACACTCTGTCACACATGAAAAAGAGTAAACAGACTGCTTGGTCTCTAGCTGTCTACCCCTCGGTTCCCAACCAAACACAATGCTTCCAATGTTGAAAACAAGGTATTAATTTGCCTTTCTTCAGAGGACAAATCATTAATGATTTGGAGTTGGGAGTAAGCAATGAAGTGGCTAAATTTGCAGATGATACGAAGTTGTTCAGGGTGGAAAACCAGTGAGGATGGTGAGGCACTCCAAAGGGATCTGTCGAGGAGGGCGAGTGGGCGTCAACATGGCAAATGGGGTTCAATGTGGCCAAGTGCAAGGTGATGCACATTGGAGCCAAAAATCCTAAATATAAATACACATTGATGGGGTCTGAACTGGCAGAGACTGAGCAAGAGAGAGATCTTGGAGTTGTAGTAGATAACTCACTGAAAATGTCGAGACAGTGTGTGACTGCAATAAAGAAGGCCAATGCTATGCTGGGGATTATTAGGAAGGGTATTGAAAACAGATCAGCCAATATAATAATGCCCCTATATAAATCAATGGTAAGACCTCATTTGGAATACTGTGTGCAATTCTGGTCACCACACCTTAAAAAGGATATTATAGCTTTGGAAAAAGTGCAGAAAAGGGCAACTCGAATGATAAAAGGGTTGGAACACTTTCCCTATGAGGAAAGGTTAAAGCGCTTAGGGCTCTTTAGCTTGGAGAAAAGACGACTAAGGGGTGACATGATCGAGGTTTATAAGATTATGCATGGGAAAGAGCAGGTAAAGAAAGAGGTACTTTTCTCCCTTTCTCACAATACAAGAACTCGTGGGCACTCCATGAAACTGCAGAGCGGTCGGGTTAGAACGGATAAAAGGAAGTACTTCTTCACCCAAAGAGTGATTAACACATGGAATTCACTGCCACAGGAAGTGGTGGCAGCTACAAGCATGGACGGCTTCAAAAGGGAATTAGATAAGCATATGGAGCAGAGGTCCATCAGTGGCTATTAGCCACAAGGTATAGCTAGGGGCTCTGGGGCAAGTGATGCTCTGTCTTCTTGGTGCTTGGGGGGGGGGTCAACAGTGGGAGGGCTTCTAATGTCCTGGCCCCACTGCTGGACCTCCTGATGGCACTGGTATTTCTGGCCACTGTGTGACACAGAGTGTTGGACTGGACAGCACCAATTCCAGACACCATGTTTTGGGAAACATAGGGGCGCACCATGTTCCCACTCTACATACCATCAGCCTCCCAGAGATCAGGGGCAACATCTGCACCTTTGCCTGAGGGCAGGGTTAGTTTTAAGGATAGGTTATCTCAGTTCACCACTGTCTGGCAGTCTGTCACCACAGATACTTCCCCCTGATTCTTTTCCCTCCTGTGCTTATTATCTGATCTCACCTGGTCTACTCAGGGCTTTTACTCTTGCAAGAATG